TGCTCACGGTCTCCTGATTTCCACTGGGAGGCGAAGCTTGTGGGCACTTGGGAGGGAGTGTGAGCATGTGTGTGTATGCACGGAGGGGGGGGGAAAGAGGAGCTGACACCAAGGGCTCAATAGAAAATGCCTAGAAAATAACGGTGGCAACATATGTACAAATAAGCGTGATACATTGATGCATGGATTGTTACAAGGGCTGTAAGAGCCCCCAATAAAATGTTAAAAAAAAAGAAGGCACGGTGGGCATGGTTCATCTGATCCTTCTCTCGGCAAGGGGTATGCGTCGGCAGGGCAGCTTTCCACCCTGGCGACCCCACAAATCAAGGAGCGGGACAGGCACCCCAGGGATGGGGAGCTGGTGCTCAGGGTCCAAGCGCTGGTTCCGCCAGTGCTCCCTGGGTCTCCATGGGAGCCCTTCCCCTGCTCCGCCCGGCCCTGTGGCCACTCACCTTTGAACATGATGGCCTCCCCGTGGCCTTCCTTCTGCTTCTCTCGGAAGAGCTTGTAGCAGGCCGAGGTGCTGGCCATGAGCATCCGGAATTGCTGCGAGGGAGTCCAGGGGGGCAGTGTCAGCCGTGATGACCCAGCCCCCTCAGCAGGGGGCCTCCAGCTCCCCCACATCGAGTGGCAAAGGCTGCTGGGAAGGGTCTTCTCCAACCCAGAGGAGCACTGGCACTCTGCTTCAGCAGGATACCATCCGGTCAAGGCTCGGAGCGCAAGACCGTCTCCAAGTGGCCACGAGAGCAGGCCACTTACACAACCTTTTCAGAGCGTAAGACCACAGGTGCTCCTTCCACTTCAGAATGTGCGAGAATTTCGTCAGAGATCGCCAATCCCCATACCCTGTTGTTCTCCAGGGCACACTGGCCAATATGGTGGCCACGAGCCCCAGGGGACTATCCAGCGCATGCCTGTGACCACTCTGAACACGAGGGCCACTGGGAGTCGGGGGTCACCAAGAGTTGGAACATCATCTGGGCTTTTTTTGGGTTATCAGAGTAAAATGCACATCTGATGTTGAAGACGTAGTATGAGAAAAAGATGATCAAGTCTCTCATTAGTATTCTTATGTTCACTGCATGTTGAAATGCTCAAGGTGCCTTCTGGTGTATTGGTTACAGTGTTAGGCTGCGAACCTCAAGGTCAGCAGTTTGACACCACCAGCCGCTCCGTGGAAGAAAGATGAGGCTTTCTACTGTCAAGAGTGACAGTCTCGGACGGAAACCCGCGGGGCAAGTTCTTCCCTGTCCTGGAGGGTCGCTATGACCCGATGGCAGTGAGCTTGCTTCTGGTTTGGCTGAAATGCTCATATTTGGGGGTCCAGGTTAATTAGAATATGTTATTAAAATTATCTTCACCTGCTTCATCTGACTTTAAAATGTGGCTTCTGGAAGGTGTGCAATTGCGTTTGGCTTGTGTTCTGCTTCTGTGGGGCTGCACTGCTCCCCGGCCTTCTCCAGGACCACACCCCAGGGACAGCACTCCAGCAGGTTCAGCCTCTGCCTGTTGCTGGAGTCCGAGTCCCTCCCCCGGACTCTGCGCTCTGGCAGGACATGGCTTGTCCACCACCGGGTGACTCTGGGCTTGGGGGCTCGCTCACCTTTGTGCCTGGGATGGGGACGAAGGTCATGAACTCGTCCACGTGGCCCACAGTCAACCAGTCGGAGTAGAGCTCCACCGGCGCCTGCACCTGCTGGGCCTGCAGGAAGTCCCGCACCACCTTGGTCATCCGCCGTCCGCCGGACCTGCACAAAGACAAGCCTTCCTGTCACTGGGTGCTGGGTCACCCGGGTGGGGAGTGTGGGGGTCACGGACATACGAGGGAACCAGGGGCTCCTGCAGCTTCTACTGATGGGCGGCTCAGCGCCCCCCGGGGTGGGATTCCTCCCCACCGCTTTCCCTTCCCTCCCTGGTTGAAAATCTCATAATAAATCTGTGGCCCCGGGTCACTTCTGACTTGTGGCAGCCCTGTAAACCACCAACCGAATAAGCAACCCCCCCCTCACCAAAACCAAGCCACACTCACTGCCCCGAGCCCCTTCTGACTCACAGGGGCCCACAGGACAGAGTAGAACGGCCCCGGTGGGTTTCCACGACTGCAACTCTTTACAGGAGTCGAGCGCCACATCTTCTTCCCTTAGAGCAGCTGGTGGGTTCAAACTGCTGACCTTGCAGTTCGTAGCCCAACACAGAACCACTGGGCCCCATAGGACAGAGGAGACTTATCCCACGGGGTCAGATCACAAAGGTGTGATCTGTGGGAGCAGTTGGTGGGTTAGAACTGCTGACCCTTGGGTTAGCAGATGAATGCTTAACCACGACACTCCCAGGGCCCCTGAATCTCCTACACCTACCCTCTCATTCTGGGAAGACAGGGATGTGTCTAGTTTTATGTGGGATCCTAATTCACACTACGCTGCAAAGGCTAACTTGGCT